GGTGATCACGCCTAACAAAACAAGCACACTTCCTTCTACCACAGGCTTCCTGTTCAAGTGGGAAGGAGATGCTGAGCGAATTAACAACCAGCAAGACAATGTCAGATGGTAACGAAGGGACAAGTCCAGTGGTGTGCGAGTGAATCTTTAAGATCCACTCTTCTGGAAAAAAGATCCCCGATGTTTAGCACTTGCTAATCTCTGTGGTGTGAATACCCTCACCGTGGTTGATTTCAGGCCATCAAAATGATGTCTGACGGCTCTTCAGAACTCCTGGAAGTTTAACTAGCTGACTCTTGCCAATCTGAAAGAGCTGGCTCCAGCACTGGGCTTGTGTAAATAATGGTGGTTTGGGAGAGACCTGAAGATCTGAGGGCCAAAAGTAGCAGTGGAAGAAGAGTATGCGAGCAGAGACGGTGACTGTGCAAAGGCCCTGAGGTTGGAGAGAGCTTGGTGCGCTCAGGGAACAGAAGCTGGGCTGGTGTCGGCAGGAGCGTGATGGGGGGTGGATGGGAAGACAGAGGCTGGGCTGTTGACAGCCTCACAGATAGACCATGGCATCAAGTTTGAATTTTATTCTCTGGCCACAGGAAGTCTTTGGAGGGCTGTAAGGAGGGGGGACGGGGAGGGAAGGGGATGTCTGGGTCCGATTTGCATTTTTTAAGGCTCAGTGGGCGGTTCTGTTACACACCAGCAGGAGGTTAGCAAGAGAGCAGGGCCGTCACTAGGGGAGGCAGCGGTGACCTGATTGACATGTCACTGGGGGGGGGGCAGCGGTGACCTGATTGACATGTCACTGGGGGGGGGGGGAGGCAGCGGTGACCTGATTGACATGTCACTGGGGGGGGGGAGGCAGCGGTGACCTGATTGATTGACGCACCGCTGCGGAGGGGGAGCCGGAGGCCGCTGCACTCAGGCAGAGCCGTGGGGCTGTGACAGGTTCCGTCTCAGCTGCTCTCTGCCTGTTCACCCTGAATGCACGCAGCCCGCCATTTCTGCTCTTAGGTCACGGGGAGGCAGAAGGAGCCTCAGACAGTTAGGGTCACTATCTATGCCACCTACTTTCCTCCTTGATTCTGACCGATTCTGTAATTACCACCTCCCGAGAAAGCCAGAACAGCAGGTGAGGAGAGATGTTTATCTTGGGTTCAAAGGCAAGGCAAGATCAACAAAAACAAAACCTCTTCTCCACGCTGCCCTTCCTCCTGTGATTTTGTCTCCATCAGTACCTTGTTCTGCAATTTGCATGGGGGGTGGAAAGATAAGACTGACTGCATTTCCACCTTTGCCCAAGGGTGCTTCTCGGGTGTGTATCGGACACCTATGTAAATGTTGTGGGTGTCAGCTTGTCAGGTAATAAAGAAGGTTGCCATCTGGCCCTGCTCCACCCTGAGACTGCCTCTTGGTCTAGGGCTTAGGGGGGCGTGAGAGATGCCATCTTTCTGGACTGGCATTGTCTGGTAGAACTTTTCGAGGATGAAAACGTCCTGTATCTTGCCATCCATCGTGGTAGCCTCCAGTCATTTGTGGCTCATGTGACTGAGAAACTGACTTCTCAGTTCAATTTTTGTATAAGCTGCTGTCTTGAACAGCGGAATTCTAGACCACATGTGATCATCTATTGCCCTGGACCCTTGGGTTTATGGTTGACTGGAGAGCCTACTGAACTCTTGTAGAACTCTGTGGAAGGGTGGGATCTCAAGTGAGTTGTCACTTGTCATAACCCTGCTTCCTCCCAGTTGCAGAGAAAGGAGCAGTCACAGAAAGAGTATGGGATTTTCCCAGCATCTCTCGGCTGTGGAGTGGCCAGATAGGAACCCAGCTTCTAACTCTTAGCTCAGCATCCTTTTCTCTTTTCTGATGTGTGATTTCCAAAAACCAGTGTTAAATTTCATAGGTTTCCAGGCAGCTCTTCTGCCTGTAACTTTGCGGGTTGAGTTGAAGTCCTCTTTGACCCTGACCTCAACCTTGATCTCCTCCTCCATCCCTGTAAGTGATCATGGTATGGTCAGTTTGGAGCACATCCTTCCACACCTTTTGCTGTTGTATTTACATGAGTATAAATGAATGGATCAAAAACATGCAGCATTATTATTAAAAATAATAAGTTGTATCCTGCTATCCATATAACAAAATTTGTTTTTACAAGTTGCTTTTCTCTTTCAATAGTTATGTCTTTGATCTTCATGGGCAAGGTCATAGATCTCTACCATACTGTTTTTTTTAAACTGTTGCAGTCTTTCATAGCCAGGACGTGTTATATTACTCATAAGCCTAATTGATGGAACTGTGTTCATCAACCATTTTCGTGCTTATCTCTTGTATGCAGATTTCATCTGGGGTACATACTGAGAAGTGGATTTATTAGGTCATAGGGAATATGTATTTTTATTTTTACTTTATTTTATTTTTTCATTTATTTTTATTAGTTGGAGGCTAATTACTTTACAATATTACAGTGGTTTTTGCCATACATTGACACGAATCAGCCATGGATTTACATGTGTTCCCCATCCTGATCCTCCCTCCCTGTATTTTCAATTTTAATAGCTGCTACTCAAAAAATAGTTATACCATTTACATTGTTATCAGCTTCAGGAGAGTGTCTGTGTTCTCACAGCCTCCAGAATACCTACTATTATCAAATATCTACATGGGTGCTTCTCTAGTGGGTGAAACAGGATTCTCATAGTTGTTTAACTTTCCTGTTTACAAGGTAAGTGGAGCATCTTTTCTATGCTAATGGTCATTCGTTTTTCTGTGAATTGCCTGTTCAAACCTGTTGTCTGTTTTACTGTTGGGTTCTTTTTATTAACTTATTTAGCAAATTGTATTTGTGCCATGTGCCAAGCATTATTCTAGGTGCTAGGGATTCCGTGGCATGTTAAATCAGTAGACATCCGTGCCTGCAAGGAGGTGATAGTCTAGTTGCAAAAGAAAGACCTAAGCAAAAGGAACTGAGAAAATATATAGGATGTTTTATGGGATGAAAAGAAGGGGAAGGAGTTAGGGACAGTCATGGAGGGTAGGACTCGATTTTAAATAGGATGGCCAGGAATCTTGTCCTTTACTTATTCATTTGGAAGTCTTTTTTTTTTTTTTTTTAAGAATATTTACTTACTTGTTTATGGCTGTGTTGGGTCTCCGCTGCTGCTCACGGGTTTCTTTGATTGCGGCGGGCGGGGGCCGCCCTCTAGCTGTGGCGCGTGGGGCTCCTCCCCGTGGGGGCTCCTCACCATGGGGGCTCCTCACCATGGGGGCTCCTCCCCGTGGGGCTCCTCACCATGGGGGCTCCTCACCATGGGGGCTCCTCCCCATGGGGCTCCTCCCCGTGGGGCTCCTCCCCGTGGGGGCTCCTCACCATGGAGGCTCCTCCCCGTGGGGCTCCTCCCCGTGGGGCTCCTCCCCGTGGGGGCTCCTCACCATGGGGGCTCCTCACCATGGGGCTCCTCCCCGTGGGGCTCCTCTTGTTGCAGAGCCCGTGGGCTCAGTTGCTCCACAGCACCCGGGATCGTCCTGGACCAGGGACTGAACTGGTTTCCCCTGCGTTGCAAGGCAGTCTCTTAACTACTGGACTGCCAGTGAACCCCCTACAGAGGAGATTCTCTGGTGAGGTCACCAGAGGTGAATGGCCCCACCCCCTTTTCCCCAGGAATAAGAACACTGAGCCTCTCTGGTAGGTGTTAGGGATAAACAAGGAACATAAACCTGGTCCCTGTGTGTTGGAACTTAGAACTTTTGTTTGTTTGTTTGTTCAGCGCTAAGCTTTCCTAGAGGGGAGTTCTCTAGCATCCTAAGGTGGCTATGGAAACTCGTGGCTATGATCATGCCTTTTGGTGTGTTTGTAAAAATTAACATCTATATGAGCTATTGGTGTTTTGCGAGTGTCCAGTACCCACTTCTTAAAACAGTTTGCAGTTTAATCTTCTACATTCCTGTGGAACCGCTGCTGTCCCCTGAGCCAAATTAATCTAGCGGGAATGTTTGTTGCCATCTAAGAGTTAATACAGTGTTTAATGATTTCATTTATTTGCTTGTTTTAGATTTTCTTCTTTCTTCTCCTATTCCCCACTCTGCACTAGATTCTAAGTTCCAAAACACAGGGACCAGGTCTCTTTTCCTTGTTTTATCCCTAACACCTACCATAGAGGCTCAGTGTTCTTATTCCTGGGGGAAGAAGGCGGGGTGGGGTGGGTTCACCTCTGGTGACCTTCTCACCAGAGAAGTCCCCTCTGTAGGCATACTTTACGTATTCTACGTATTAATCCTTTGCCTTTATATATTACATGTAATTTCTTCCAGTCTTTCATTTTCTTTTAACCTCGATGACAGTACTTTCGCCTTGCTCTTTTTTAAACTTATAAAATTTGACTTGTTAATTGAAATTTAGTCATATAAAAATTGAAAGTGCCTTTTTCTGATCTTTCCAGGCAGCCACTGTCAAGAGCTCTGGTTTATCTTTTCCAATTATTCTCTATTCTCACTACCATCTCCGTGACCCCAGTCACCAGTGAAGCACAGTTTCTGGCTCTGTGCAGCTCTGATCTATCAGATTCTTTCTCAAGCTGCTTCATATTCATTTTTAGAGAGGCCCCCTGTAGTTTATCCAAGCGTTCCCCTCTGGCTGGCATCCAGGTGGCGTCCAGCTCCCCATCACTCTGGACTCTGCAGTCCTGCGTCCCTTCCGCCACTCAGGCGCTTGTCTGGCCTTTGTTGGGACTACAGCCTCCATTGTTGTTGCTCAGTCGCTAAGTCGTGTCTGACTCTCTGCGACCCCACGGACTGTAGCCCGCCAGGCTCCTCTGTCCAGGGGATTCTCCAGGCAAGAATACTAGAGTGGCTTGCCATTTCCTTCTCTGGGCAATCTTCCCAGCCCAGGGATCGAACCTGCATCTCCTGCACTGGCAGGCGGATTCTCCCCCCGCCTCCCCTCCCTGGGAAGCCCAATGCCCCGTGTGTTAATGGTGCTGTAACAATTTGCTTTGTTTTCTGCCCCTCAGCTCCACGGCTACATGGAGAACAAGCCCCTGGGGCTTCAGATCTTCATTGGGACGGCCGACGAGCGGATCCTCAAGCCCCATGCCTTCTACCAGGTACATCGAATCACAGGGAAAACCGTCACCACCACCAGCTATGAGAAGATCGTGGGCAACACCAAAGTCTTGGAGATTCCGCTGGAGCCAAAAAACAACATGAGGGCGACGTAAGGCTGGGGGGTGAGGGCGGGGTGGGGGGGTGGTCTTCACAGGGAAGGGGGTGGGGCCATGTGGCAGAGGTGTGGGCTTGACTCTGTGGAATTGATGGGAGCAGCTTGATGGGGGACCCAGTCTGTGATGGACCTACAGAGACTGCTGGTTTAAAAGCTTCTACGTGAAAAGTTCTAGACCCTGATATTTTTCACGTGTTGAGAGGAAGGCTGCTTATGCACCTTTAAATTATGTTGTTTGGAATGAGGCTAAGCTTATTTTTATGAAAAGTATTTATTTGACTTAAAAATCATTAAATAATAATGCAGGTAGATGTAACCTCACGGGCCTAATATGCATATGGCTAAAATGTGGGAAACATTGCACCCGTGTGTTGGAGTACAAACAACTTTATTAGAGAATAATCTCAAACTTCAGAACTGCGAGCAGCGTACAAAGAACTCGTTACGCCGTCTGCTCAGGTTCCCCAATTGTTAACCTTTTCCACGTTTGCTTTATGACTCTTTCTCCCCGTCCCTCCGTTTTTTTCCTGAACCCACTGAGAGTTAGCTGCAAACATTATGCCTTTTTTACACCACGGTACATGTGTCAGATTCAAGGTGTTTACTGTCGATACACTATTCTTACTAGCGCATAGTCCATAAGCAATTTCCCCAGTTGTGTGTGTGAGTTTTTTCAGATACTTTTGAGAGTAGAACAGCTGGAGGCAGAATCTCCCTAGAGAAGTGTAACTCCACTGGGGAGTTTCCCTGATCGCCTTGTGTTTTACCCCCCAGCCCACCCCCATTGTGGTCTCAATTCCTGGCTGAACAATGTGTCCGTATATTGCGACCGCCCACTGTGGGGGACCTCCAGCTCCCCGAGATGGTCGGTTTTCAGTGGCTTCTCTCCTCTCCGGCAGCATCGACTGCGCGGGGATCCTGAAGCTGAGGAACGCGGACATCGAGCTGCGGAAAGGCGAGACGGACATCGGCCGGAAGAACACGCGCGTGAGGCTGGTGTTCCGCGTGCACATCCCCGAGGCCAGCGGAAGGATTGTCTCCCTACAGACCGCGTCCAACCCCATCGAGTGCTGTAAGTGCGGTTCTGGGCGGGGCGGGTCTGTGGCAAGTGCAGGGGACACGACCTTCCACGCCGGGCCTTGTCGCCCGGGCAGGGTGCCCTGCAAGATTGTGCGGCACCCGCAGGGATGAACGGCGGTCCAAGTTGACCAAAGGGGCCAGAGACCGAGCACATTTCAGGGTTTCTCTCTGCTTTTCTTGTGGAGGGTTTCAGTAAAAAATACTGTGGCTGAGAAGTAGCCCACAGCTTGGTTGAGAAGATTTGAAGTGTCTGCGTCTTGGGCTGGTCTCAAGAAGGGCAGATGCAGCTGGAGTCAGTTGGCTGTGCTGAGCGTCCTCTGTCGCCGGTCCTCTTCTCTTCTTTCAGTGGAATAATAGTAACATCACAGTGGCTCTCGCTGACAGAATGGTGACTCCAGTCAGTAGGCTGAGTGCTCAGTATGCAGTATTCTCGTCATCATGCCCTTTTAGAGAAGAAGGATGGAGATGAGGGGCTGAGTAACCTGTCCCAGCAGAGTGGGCTTTGAGCAGGGGTTTTGGCATGCAGGAGCCAGGCGTCCCCATCACCCTCCGTGCATCTGTGTGTTTCCTGAGAATCTGCTCACTGTCTTGTGTGGTGCTGAGGGCCTGCAGATGAGCGTGATGTTTTCTCTGTCCTTCATGAGCCTGTGGTCTGGTAGAGCTAAAGATACCCAAACAAAGATGCAGAAGATTTTCAGAATTCTGTATGGGGACGGGGGGCCAAGATCTACCATTTGACAAGGCTCTGAGCAGAGACCTGGCCCAGCTCCCCCAGGCTTCAAAAGATGAAACTGTTCTGAGCTCTTTCTTAGGTACTTTGGGCAAGTTTGTTGTTGGATTTTGTAGTTAGACCTGACAAAACTTATTGTCAGCTCAGATTTTGAGAGTTTAGAAGTCATTTTAAAAAGCATAAAGAGGGAAAGAAGTAAGCATTGTTACAGAAACAAAAGCTGTTTATATAACTTTTGAAGTCTTGTTCTTCTGAGAATATTTTTTTTATGTTAGAGTAATGTTCCATATTCAGTTGTGTTTCAGGGTTTTTCCCCCCCTTTTTACTGGACATTTTACCATAATTAGGTGTCACAAAATCAGCTACCTACAGAGACTGGGGAGGTGATGGACATGAGTGTGGTGGTTTGTGGGGGCAACAGTAGGTGTGGTGGAGACTGGGGGCCAGGATGGCATGTTCCCCGTCTCAGTCGGCTGCTGTTGCTCAAACCCAGCCGGCCTTTTCATGTGAGAGTGTCGACTCAAGTGGCCAAATCTTCTGATATTTTTTCTTTTAAGAAAAGATAAACCAATAATCTCATGATTTTTGTTTTATTGCTGGAGCATAATTGTTTTACAATGTGTTAATTTCTGATGAACAACAAAGGGAATCAGCTTTAGGCATACATATATCCCCTCCTCTTGAACCTCCCTCCCACCCCCGGCTTCCTCCCACCCCTCAAGATCATCACAGAGCCCAGGGCCGAATTCCCTGTGTTATGCGGCATCTTCCCACTAGCCATCTTTGTTACACACAGTACTGTATATACGCCAGTCCTACACTCCCAATTCATCCCTGAGTTTTAAAAAAAGCCGCAACAAATTAAAACACTCTGTGGGTCAGCTGAGGACTGCACATGTCTTAGACTCATCAGAGGTAGTCTTAATCAGACACCCATGAGCGAAAGGAAAGCATGAATATTTTATGCAAAACGGGTCGAGGAAGACTGGCCTTCCTTCAGCAAGGGGACCGGGACCGCTTTGAGAGAGAAGGTGGGACTTGGTCTCAGTCACTCCTCGGAAGAGGAGGAAGGAGGCCTGTGGTCTTTCCCCAGGCCGGTGAGTCAGGGTAGGGGTCAGGCTGGATCTGGTGTTGAGTCTGTGCTCTGATGTGAGAGAAAAAAGACCCAACACAGACAACAAGGGAAAACAAGTGTTTGAAAAACATCATCTCAGAAGCCCTGGAATTCCCCTCCTCTACCCAGCAGAGCCCCGGCCCCCGAGTGCTAGTCACGGTGGCTGCCCCGCCCTGCTCTTCGTTTTGAACATCTCAAGATGTTTGGGGAAGGAAACTCAGGCTCTTCCTTGGTGACTGGGGGATTTTGAGAAGATAAGGTCTCCCCTTTCTGGCAGATGACTCAGTCTTCAGGATGGGGCTGTGGTTTGCAGCAAGGTGGGGAGCTGGAAGAACCCTTGACAGGAGCCCCATCCCTCTCCATCTCTGGGTCCTTCCAGCCCCTTTATCTCCCATCAGCCTGAGATTTTTAAGGATCCTCACTGACTGCACGCACTTCCCCAGGGTGTTAAAAAGTAGTTTGAACTTTGAACAGAGCATTTTTTTTTTCCTTCTCATAAAAAAGCATTTGGCTGATTTAATTACTGTGCTTTGACAGACAAGGAAACCGAGACTTTCTTGGTAAGGTAATTCACTCGTTTTTACTTGGTAGGGAGCTGAGGTAGAGTCTCCAACTTTCAAGTTCTGTGAAATACCTGCGTTTGGTTTCTATGACACCCCACCTTTCTGGCAAGAGCAGAGCTACTGATGGACCACTTTCCCCTCTCACAGGGGGACGTCAGAATCCTCTGCAGTTCAGTCTCCTCCTTTGCTCTGTTCTCCTGGATCAGCACCTAGCAGTTTCACAAACATTTATGGGCTAATTGGCTCCCCGTTCATTTGGTTCTTAGGGATGCATACAATATTTGTCGACACAACAGTCCATGACACCGTGCGTGCATGCCAATTCCCTTCAGTCGTGTCCGACTGTTTGCGACCCCAGGGACTGTAGCCCGCCAGGCTCCTCTGTCTGTGGGATTGTCCAGGCAAGAATACTGGAGGTACCATCCTCCAGGGGATCTTCCTGATCCAGGGATCCAACCCACATCTCTCACGTCTCCTGCATTGACAGGCAAGTTCTTCACCACTGGGGCCACCTGCGAAGCCCCGTATCAACACAGTATGTGTACTATAAATACTTGTTCATGAATTGATTTCACGTACTCCCTTCGGGGAAGGTGAGCTGGTAAGAAAAACACTTAGTGGGTGGGCTGCTGCTGATTTGCAGGGTTAACTTATTGACTTTGGAGGAATGCTTACTACACGATGTCTCAGGGATCAAGGGTGATTTCTCAGAATCTAGTGGAAAAATCTCGAACAAGGCCCTGGGGGCCACTCTTTGGAAAGCGGAGTTGCTTGCTGGAAAGGCAGATCCCTTCCGTTTCTTTTCTGGCCGGCACGGCTGAGGTCCCATCTCAGTTGTGCCCGGAGAGATGCCCCATGCTGTTTCCTAGCCTCGTTTCCACCTGCTCCTCAGTGTTGCCAAGGAGGTCTTTTGAGTTTCCTCCCCTCTTCGCAGCAGAGAGACTGTTTTGAACCTTCTCAGGACTCCCAAGCTCTGGAGGCCACCCCCACCCTCGCCAGGCAGATAACCCTCCTCCTACTCGTAGGAGAACGTGGAAGAGGTCAGAAGGGAACGCCCTGCCTTGCCCAGCAGTCAGTCTCCACACGGTCGCAGCTGTGGGCAGCCTCTCCGAGTCCGGGCCCCTGGACGCGGGACAGTTCTTACCCTTGGGTTGCTTCGAGCTCTCAGCTTCAGCTGCAAGTTCCCTGTGACGGAGGAACCCGTGCTGTCCCTCTTGTGCAAATTCCCAGGACGGGTGAAGCCAGATACCACCGCTGGGGAGCCTTCCAGCAACAGACATCGATTCTCAGAGATCCGGAGCGCACAAGCCTGAAATCAGCGTGTCGGCGGGGGTGGTCCCTTCTTGGAGGCTCTGGGGAGACAGTTCTAGGCCCCTCTCCTGGCTTCCGGTGGGGGCTGGAGGTCGCTCTTGTTCCCTGGCTTGTACATGCGTCACTGCATCTCTGCCTCCGTCTTCACAGGATGTCCTCTGTGTGCGCCTTTCTGACGCACCCCCACTCCAGGATGACTTCGTCTGCATCCTCGTTTATGTCATCAAAGGCTCTGTTTCCAAACAGAGGGCGCGTTCTGACTTCTGGGGGGACGGGAAGCCTTGATGGCGGCCCGGTTCGGCCCGCCGCACCTGCTCAGCGGAATTTCTTGGCTTCCCTCTCCTCTCTGCTCCGCAGTTCCCAGATCCACTGGGATCTTCCTCTGGCTCCTGGGCTTCAGCCTGCACTGTCCCCTCCGTCCAGAATGCTAGTTCTCAGTCTTAGCTGAGGGTTGGAATCACCTGGGAACTTACAAGATAAAATGCGATGTCCACCTCTGAATCAGAGCCTCTGATTCAGTTGGCCTGCAAGGAGGTCTGGGCCTGGAGATTTTTAGAGGGGTCTGGTTATTCTGACCACCCCCCCACGAAGTTAGACACCCACCGCCGTGCCCGTCCACCATCCTTCCATTGCTCAGTTAACCCCTCCTTATCCAAAGCCCCTGCTTAGATGGGCCCCCATCAGGGGGAAGCTTGCCCACCCTGCACAGGGTTTAGGGTACCCCTCTCCATTTGATGACACCTAATTTACCTGTCAGTCTCTTCGTTAGGATTGGGGGCCAGTGGGGTGTTCGCCAGGGCCTGGCACACAGCCACTGACTCTAGAATGTTTGTTGAAAAAAAATGAAAGCATGAAGACAAGCATCTCCAGGCTGTCTGGTGGGGTAGAAAGACAGCGTGGATGTGTCCCTCACCCCATGAGAGCCTCCCCTGGGTTTTCTCCCTGTCTGGCCAGGGGGCCTGTCTGGTCATCGCATTTCAGAAAACGCCTACAGCGGTTCCCACCGAGCCGTGTCTGCTCCGCACGCAGTGTAAGTTCCCTTTGCTCATTCTGCAGGAATTGGGGGTGTGGGGACGAGGTGTGGGCTAGAAAATGGCTTTTCTCATATGCTGTTTGCAGTGTCTCTTTTGTGGCGCAAATCTGTTTCACCGAGCTATAATTACGATACCCGAGATGGCACAGACGCAGTGGTTTTTGACACTTGTGTACACCCATGTGGCCACCACTCAAAGCAAGACCAAGGGCGTTCTCCTCCACCCTGACGCTTCCTCCTC